TTTCCACACTTAATCAATTTTAGTTAGAAAAAGCAATACAACTTAGAGAATTAGATCAGTTTATTAAATGTCTATCGTTGTAGTGGACTTACCTATCCCCATGAATCCGGGATTAATTCACGATGAATTTAACGACTCCCATTTTGAGTATCAATCCAAAGTAGGGGCCCTTAATTTAAGACCAGAGATTCCCTTTTTTCTCCATTTAATTAATTACTTGCATCTAGTAATATTTACCTTCTTCATGTACTCGAGTACTGTTTTGCAAATTCCAGTGATTTTCAAAAATTTTGTTGTTGTGGTCCCGCGGTCATTAAAATGGTTTCAATTACATTCTAATTATTATCGCATAAGAAAAATAGGAGAAAAGAAATAATTGTACCGACCAAATAAACATAGATTTTGTAAAGTGCCATGCATATAATATTTCCAATTTACCCACTTTCCGACAACTTTCATGTCTAACTATTTTTGTCGATGAAGGTGCCATTTGGCGAGCGGTCACTTAGTCACGCAAATCTCCCATACAATTCGCGTAAATGTGCAGCCAAATGTACCTGCTTAGAAAGCACAAATAGTGCTTGCTTGATTTGATGCAATGCTTAAAAGCTACGTCTATAGCGCCATTATTCTTCGAAAGCGATTGGCAATAAAGGCGTTGATTGCCTGATTTCCAGCTGTTTTAGGCCCTACCTAATGCGTTCCATTTTGGAGTTTCTTTGATACTCCTGATACGGGGTTATTAAATACGAGCTGACTGCAAGTACTTTTGGAAATGGAGAAGAGTAATTCTTGGGCTGATAGAAGAGGAAGTTATCCCTTATCTCCTTAATCAATTCTGACTTCAACTTCGTGCATTACTTAAAGTGTCTATAAATAGGTTGAAAATTTCATAAATCTATATGGGACGCAATATAAAGAATATTGCCTCCATTCATATTCAAATTTAAGTTCCACTGTTTTATCTAAAGCCTTGATTAACCTCTATTATGCACTCTTATTGATAGTTTTAATTGCTCAATTGCAATTCTACAATTAATTCGTATCATAACCCTTATCGCCACAGATACAAATTTGTATGACTAACCATTAAACTAAAACAGTTACTATTGATTAGCTCTGAATATTGACTGAGTAAAGCTCATATGGAAAACAGAGAGAACAAATTGTAATTTAAAAAATTCATAACCAGCTGAAACATCGGGGTTTTAATGAGAGACTTGAAAATTGTAGGTACCGAAATTTCCTTTCATAAGTTAATTACCCAAGTTTAAAATTTTCAATAATCTGAATTACTATTTAATGGAACAAATATTTGCTATAACTTAACATTAATTAGTATAAAATTTGCCCAACCATGCTAAAATGAAGAAATATCCGGCCGGATTTTTTCCAAATAAAGTCAAAAGGTAATACGGAAACAACAATGATATTTCCTTTAAATACACGAATAAAATTTTGTCCTTTCATTTAGGTTTGTAACAATATAATTAAATAAACAAAAAATAATACAACTTTTGTTGCATTTTTACGAAACCATTTGCACAGCTGTATTTTCATATGCGAAAAAAATATATATTAAGAAAAAATGACAGTTTTGAATATAAAGTGATTTACATATACAAATTATAAAAAATATGCTCTCTGTAACACAGAAGTCTGAATACTTGTGATTAATTTCTTCTGCTCTTGTGGGACACCTTATCGCTCTGTGCGCCATCGTATGCCCGCATGTCTGCTCGCCAGGATTGGGAGGTGCGGCCGTACAACTCTGTGTGCAGCGACCGTACAAACAGTGACCAATCATCAACCTCTGTTTAACCTAATCCCCCATCCTGATCATGAGTAGCTCCCTACGTGCACACTTTAACCGCAATACCCGTACTGAATAAACGTGCTCCTTGCTACACGTCTGTTTCCTTGATAGCTGGGCTATAGCTTAGCTGGTTCCAGGAGTCTAGCTAGATGTAGGAGGATTTGCCATAGAGATTTCTGAGTCAGTCAGGCTTTAATAAAGTAGCAATCCACTACACTCTTAAATTGCAAGTAAAGAAAGTGATAATTTTTGTTTAGTAGTATACTGCAAATTTTATTCAAGCTTCTTCTAATGAAGTTACTAAGATTTATGATATTAAGAATGAGGAGATTCAAAATTAATTTGTGTTTAACAACATGAAATTTTAAAATACCTTCCCATTTTTAAATGGTGTCACAGTATTCATTTTGAGAACATTTGAAGATAACTCCGCACTGACGTTTTAATTAGTGCCTATTTTTAATTCGGGAAATGTTTATAGAAAATGGCGAATTAATTCATTTAATATTTCTTGAGAAAAAACATTTTAATGCTCTTTTATGGTTTGCATTTCGAATAATCATGTTGGAAATTGAAAAGACTAGTTTTAACATTCTCTTTTCTGCTAAGTCCCAGTTAAAGGCTAATATCAACATATCATGCAACTTTTAAATGATATTTTTTTAATCTTTCGAACGAAAAGGATTGAACCTGCTGCAATCATTATGATTGGGCCTGAATTTCTTTCGAGCGAAAATTGTTTTGAGGTCTTTGTTTCAGAGCCCCAATAAGTCATTACTGCTTTGCTGCAGGCAATAGAATAGACGTTAATTAATTGACTGCAGTTAAATTTAATGACCTGAAATTTTTCCGGATATTTAAATGAGAGTGTTTAGAAATTCATTGCTCTTAAAAAAACGGCAGAATTTTGAATGGGAACCTGACTTATTGGACAATTGATGAGCAGAAAATTTGTATCTATTCCCAAATTTTTAAAACATATTTTGCAAAAAATGTTAAAATATATTTTTGACAACTTATATATTATCGCTCTCAATTAACTATTTTGACTTTCTTAGTGGTCATCCCAGTCCGTCAAAGATCACCCTACTTTAGTGTTCCAATTAATTTCCATTTTAAAATCAAATATTTTAGCATATGAACTCTATCCATAATTTAACAAATTTCAATAAAATTTTTTCTGAATGTTTTCTCTAGCTTTGGAAGGCATTCTCAAATCTCATTTAATTTAACCACTCAAGCGTGATTGAACACTATACTGATCACCATTTATTCTAATCTTTAGCGTGGGCTGTGCAATTTATGGGTCAGTATAAGATAAAGGTTAAACCCATTTTTCCTCGAATGAAGGCTAGTTAAGATCATGGTAGCCCAGTAATTTCATCTATTCGGAATGGGAAAGAGTTCATTGTTCCTAAATTATGTGCATTTCAATTTTATATATTCAATTTCTACGATTAAAAAACACATTTCATGTCAAATTATTTTTCACATCCGATGGTAGGAAATTATCGAAGTAAAAAATGCACAAATTGGACGAAAATGGGCCAAGGTTATAATAGTACCGAAAGGGTCAAAGGGCTCTAAATCAGATCGCTTAATTGATTTGTACTTATCACCTTCGCCAAATATTTAAAACTTATTCCTTAAAGTTGTCTTATTTAATAATTGTCTTCTGGCTTCAAGGCAAGAATTTCAAGAGGGCATTGAAGTTTTGACAAGTTGGAAAGTCGTCGAAAAAAGGTTAACTGGGATGCTGTCAAATTTATATGTCTGATTTGGCAAAACTATGGATTTTAAATATGGGTATTCTAAAAACTTTGCTGATTAAAATAAAAATTATGTGCAATTCGTTGTCCGTACACCGTTTCACTCGTGCAGATGATCAGCGTTTAGGACTGCTCATCAAAAAATATTTTAAATAAAAACGTTATCTCCGATAATAAATTTTGAATTAGTGCTATTAAAAATAAAAAAATGCGTAGAAAATGGTTTTATTTCTTGAGCAAATATGCCTTGACAGTTTTAGAACATTTTAAATTCTTACAGTTTAGGTCAACTCATTTTCATCTAAATAAGGACACGATATTGTTTCGACCATTGCACTGGGAGCATTTTAAAATTTGTGGGTATATTTTAGCCGGTGAGTCCTGCACAAATGTCTTTTCTAAATCGGAGTTGAAAGAAATTTAAGAATGAAAATTTCCTCACTTTCTTGATAATGAAAGTGAAAAATGTGTCCTTTGGAGATAAATTTTGTTTAACTTTTGGCATTTACTTCGTTTCTCCTCATATTGTCAACAATTCCCTCATTTTGCTCCTGGAAAGAGCTGACAATTAACTTCACCAATAAATAAATGGGTTTATTTATTCAGTAGAAGTTTATTAGCTTTATATGCCTTCATATAGCTTTATTTTAAAGCTTTTCTTAAAAAAAGTGAAAAGTTTTTGGAAGAAAATTTTTCCCAATTTTGCTAATACTTTAATATCGTTTATGCTAAAATGACAAAATTTGAAGAAATAATTGGCAATCTGCTTACATTCACAAGTGAAAAATTGATTTTCTTATTTTTAAAGACTTTCTTACCAAGTACTGTTATTAATCATCTTAATGGCAAATGAGAAGGTTGTGTAGCAGTAATTCAGTAAAGTTGATTTTATATTTCCAATCAATAATATAGTTAGAGATTTCGAAATTAAAAAGTTTGAGTATTCACCAAATGATGCAGATAATATACTTTTCAAATTAATCTTGGACTTCAAAATAAGCCGTTGACTACTTTTCACTACAGTTATTCTCAACAATACCTTTCATCTCCTCGATCCAAGCCTAGACTTGGAACGTAAACCAATGAATTCTTATAAGTCAACAATATAAATAAGCACAAAGTCAGCACAATCAGAATTAGTTTGGTGCCTAAAAATCTTGGGGTGAGTTTTGTTCGTTAATGAAATTGTATACATTTATTAAATTCAATCAATGACAAAACGATTAAAGAGCATCAAGTCTGACCTAGCAAAAAAGATCTTTTAATTTATGTTCTATTACCTTGAGAACTTAGTCTGATATTTACGTGCTATTTATGTGTGAATTGCAATTTCGACTTACATTTTTGGATTAAATGGATTTTTCACCCATTAATTTTAAATAAATGAACAGCTGATAGAAAAATTAATTGAAATTTTATCGCATCTTTCCAAGGTCTGTTGATAAATATGGAAATAATCTCACTTTTATCGGAGTCACCCAGCCAAATATTCATTGTGTCTCGTTCTTCGTACATGAGCTGAAATCTGGCCGTAATCGGTGCATTTAGTAGAGCTCCGGCTAACATTATTCCAAGATATAGCAGAAGAGTTGCCTTAATGTAGCGATCTTTCTGAAATCGATGAGGGAAACTAATGGAGAGAATACGATCCATTCCAAATGCCAGTATAATATAAGCCGCCACAAAGCTGCTCCAAGATTCGGCAAATTCAAGAAATTGGCATGCCATTGTTGAGGCAGAATCGAGCTTCAGACGAATTTTTCCCCTGGAGAAGTAATGTAACCCTCTACCAAGAAAATCATCGATGAATGAATTGAAAAGTAAAATGAGAGATTCAAATATACTTAACGCCATTGGGTACAGGTTATATCTAGATCGTTGCTTATTTGTATAGAAGAAGTAGAAAACGATAATGTTTGCGACCACACCGAGTAAAAAGATGAAGGGTGACACGAAGAAGCGAAAACATGCTACTATGGAGACTAAAATATTTACTACGCCTTCACATGTCATCTTAGTCCAACAGGCCAATTTTCCTTTTGGAATTAAAGCAATTAATATGCGACTTAGGACCAAATGTGCTATTTGTATGGGAAATATTTTTTCATTGGTTGGGTCTAGTTTGGTCTGTTTGATCAAGTATGGCAGTAGCCAATGGGAAATGACATATGCAAATGTCGAGCTTAAGCCCGCATCAATTGGCATAATAAACGGTCTTCACATTTATTTGAACTAGCTCACTACCAGAGGTGAAAGTATCGTTTATAGAAATAAACATGTTCCTTTGTTATTAATTTATCCTTTTAAAATTGCTTCAGCATTTTTTATTTTTTTTTTATTTTATTTTTTTTTATTCAAAGTCGTTTTAAACAAAATTGTCCTAGATTTTTTATTTAAAATATTCAAGAATTTTGAGATTTAAAAAATATCTCTCTGATTAATTATGCAAAATGTAAAGGAAATGGTAAAAAATCAGTACTAAGATGTTCTAATCCATTTCAATTTACGTAAATAGCCTTAATTTTGGGAAGAAATGAAAAAGTATCTAAACTAATTACGTTTAGCGCACATTCCTTTTAAGATAAAATTAATCAAAGAGAAAATCATTTTAATCGGTAACTTTACATCTCAATATTATTTAAAATTTTGTGTGTAAAGTTTAAGGACAAAATTTAAATATTCGTAACATTTATTTGAAATTAGACAAATCAACAATCAACTCATTATGACATTAATTCGCGGCTTATTGGTAAAACGAAGCTAGTTCTTACAGATACTTGGATGAAAATTTTTTCATCTCCTGATTTTTCAACATTCCTAATTGGCATTTCAAAACCAAGCATAAATTACTATTTCCGCATTAAATTTTCCAATCTGCTAACGATAGTAATAAGATCTGGCAAGGAAACCAAAATTGAATAATTTATTCAATGAAAAAGTTGAGAAATTGAAAATCAGGAGCTGAAATGACACGCATTTAAAAAATTTAGAAGTAACGTCTGATCGTTGGTCGATTTGAATATTAAAGAAAAGTGGCTTTACAATTCCAGCAAATTTTTTTCCTAGAAACGGATTTTTTTATAATTCAAACAGTTGCCATGCTGAAAAACACTAATTTCGAACTATGTATGAATTTGTCATGGGACCTATTTCCACCTATTTCTACATCGCATATGCGAATGGTGTCAATTTGGTCACTATGGAAAGGATTTCAGAATAAAGTTCCAGTGATATATGTGTGTGCGTGTAATTAAAATTGTACTTATGTCTGCCTCTCACCAAGTGACATTTTTAAAATATTCAGAGATGCATGGGATAGAAGTACTTTTGCGACTAATTTTAAGAAATATTATTCGTGTTATAGATAATTAGCCTAATTGTGTCAAAATGAATAAGTCTTGCAACAAAATTGGTTACCGTTGCACAAATGCAAAAAAATTAACCACATTTAATTTATCGATTTATATTTTCACATATGTTTATTAAAGCTTATTGTTAGAAAATAATTGGAATATGAAGAGCACATTTTGTTGATTTGCAAAAAGGTGCCTTTTTGCGAATATATATAAGGAGCTTGTCAAGGAAACCGGTATAATTCAAATCTCACTCTCCATATTATTTTGTTCTGCAAAAGGAGAGATTGATGTGATCCTATAAGAGCACACCGGTCTCTGATGCACTCTAATTGAGCGTTCATAGTAAATTCTACTATAAATGCACATTTTAACTTTGCATCATTACTCTTAAAATGATTTATTTATGGAAGAGAAGCAATTTTTGAAGAAGCCTTTCTTTATTATCGAGTACACTTGAGGAAGCATTTTTAACGTTCATCTTGAATTAATAGATATCATTATGGAGTCTCCACCGCGAATTTTGCTAACCACTTTAGTAACTAGATATGATCTCTTCATTTAATAGAAGTAGACCCAGAAATCGTACATGAGATAAGGTTCCGTGAAAGAGCCTTTTAAAATATAACAACAGAAGCTGTGTTAAAAAATTTTATTTTACATATATAATATGAATGAGATAATATAAATAATACACAATGTTAATCGGGATTTGAAACATTACGAGCAAAATCTAATGCAACTATCTGCACAACGTTTGGACTTACTTGAATAATATTGCTAAAAAACTTATAAATAGATGATATATGCTATAACCAAATTACATACAGTGAAAAAAATGTTTGAATATGATAGTGTAGATAGTAAGTTCTTTTAATTCATAAAAGCAATAATAAAGTAATCATCTTTCATTATTGAATACTTTAATCTGTCAACATAGCATCTAATATCTTTCTGAAAGGCATATATGTAAGTGAAATTTTTATTTAATTCATAATAATTGATTTTGCCTAAAATATAAATATATCAATATTGAATGGCTATCGAAAACATAATAAAACTTTGAAAGCTTTCTGTGTTTCCTATAACTGGAATAGCAATATATATGACTTACCAATATTGATGGCTTTCTTATCCCACTTGCAAGACTAAATATGGAAAATAAGATTACAAGCTTATTCATTAAAATAAGTTAATTTGCATTGGACACATATATGTCATGTATTTTGCAATTAAATTTATTGTGAATGCGGATATCAAACCCTCCAATGTCGGAATTGTTCATGGAAATACGCTTTATTGATGTTTGCATAAAATAAGGTCGAAGATTTCCCAAAGTGTTCACCAGTAGAAAAGAAAACCGTAAATTGTCAAAATAATTAGAAATTAACATGTCTTAGCAAATGAGTTTGACGTAAAATAAAGAAGCTTTTGAAAATGTAAAGAGGTAGGGGGCTATTAAGTATTACTAAAGGAGGCGATGCTGAATTTCACTAGTTAATTTAAAAATTATTTAGGTTCATCGCAACTCATGTAACAAAATGCCCAATAGATTCCTCAATGAAATAATGCGACAAAATGTGACACATGCATACCAGCACTACCTCGCAGTTGGATTAATTATTAACTTTCACCTCACTCAGTCTTCCTTTAGAACCTAACAAACATTGACTCTTGTCTATTTAACTGATGGATTTACGTCATAATAATAACTTTCTTCTTAGCTACGAAAATTTATGTAAAATATGGGGTGAAATCTTTTGTTTCTTTGCATATAGCACTATTTTAATTTATTGATATTGTATTAATTTAAAAAACAATAAATGATGAACGATTCAATTGTGCTTGCTTTCAACATCTACATTTAACGTTTGGTCTTAGCAAATGAGTTTGACGTAAAATAAAGAAATGTTCGTTACCGATTGCCTACAAAATAGAGGGGTTTAAAAATTTAAAGAGGTAGGGAGGGGGGTTATTAAGTTTTAATAAAAGTAGTGATATTGAATTTTACTAGTTAATTTTAAAATTATTTGAGTTAATCGCAATTCATCCAACAAAATACCCAATAAATTCCTCAATGAAATTATGTGAAAAAATGCGACATGCATAACAATATTGGATTAATTTTTAACTTCCACCTCACTAAGTCTACCTTTAGTACCTAACAAAAACTGTCCCTTGATTGTTTGATTGATGGACTTACATCATAATAATACCCTCCTTCTTGGCTACGAAAATTTATTAAAAAATGGGGTGAAATCTTTTGTTTCTGTGTACATAACACTATTATAATTTATTATAATTGCAATAATTTAAAAAGGCAATAAATGATGAGCTTACTTTCAACATCCGCGTTTAACGTTTGGGTGTACAATAGAGTATGAGGGAAACAATCGAGGCTTTTGCTGAAATCGGTGATACGATTCTTTTTAAGACCGCTCGGCAGTATAGTGACAATGGACAATGCGAAAGCTGCCAAAAATGAATGCCGGAATTTTTATACCAGCATTAATAAGCCGTACATAAGTAATATGTATGCATATATAAAGAATGTTACACTCATTTAATTTCAAAGGCAAGACTACAAAGGTGAAGGACAATTCATGAAATCAACATAATTAAAGTTACCCTCTCAACCATTTTCGTTTAAGATATTGGCCCTCTTGAAATACTCAAATGGAAGGCAAATATCAGAAGAAAAAAACTGTGATTGTAATCACCTACGCAGAAAATAATTATTCTAAGATACAAATGACATTTGATACTTCGAGCTTTATAATTAAGTTAAATAGTTATTTTTTAGACAATTGAAGTGCTAAAGAGTCTAGCTTGTTGTCATAAAACTTAACAATGAGATAATTTTAAGTGCTAGCCATTTTAAAAACCAAATTGTAATATCTGCAATAAACATTTTTAAGCTAATTTACATATTTGAAATTTTATAGCTTACACAGAATATTTAGTAAATAATGCTATTAATATCAAATTCAAGAAGAGTTTTTATTTTAATTCTGTTATCCAACCAACTTAAATTTTTTTAACTTTTTAAGAAAGATAAACTAAATAATATTTTGAACATTATTTTGATATTTAAGTAATTACGAATTGATAAAAGAGGCCTTAGTTTAGTTTTCAAAACAGAAAAATACCGTTATTGACTTGAGATTGAAGATTATTTTCCATTTTCGGAAGACTTGAATCGAACAAAATTCTAAATTTGTACATCCAAAAATTAATCCAAGTTATCAGTTTTGATTTCCGGGTCAATTGAATTAGCATTGACTGATACTAAATGCTTTAATCGCTAGAACCCTACATTATTTGTAGGAATGAAAAAACCATTCAACATCTGACGCCGTTGTATTGCGCTTGCCA